TTACTTGTTAAGTGCCCAAATCGGATCCTACTCATAGTAATCCTATCTGTATAGGTTTTCCGAGGCTTTAAATCTGCTTGGGCACACAAACCTCATCTTTCTCCAGTGGAGAGGCTGGTAGGCTCGAACCACAGACATTGTGGTTCACTGTCCAGTGCTTTTCGTATGGAGCCATAGTATTCGCATACTTAATATTATAGAAATCTGGGTACTCATTTCATTTGTCAAACTACTGAATAAGCTCCTTGGGCTAAGCACACAGAAGTGGCAAAGCCATGGGACTTTAATGTTAAAATATCAGACCTAAATTCAAACACCAGCTTTCACTTACTATCTCTGTGACACTAAGCTAGTGCCTCAGTTAACGCTTCTGTAAGATGGTGATGTTACCCACACCACAGAAACCGTTGGGAGGACTCAACGAAATGGCTACTTCAAAGTGTGGCCCATACAAAGATTGGTTGCTACACATATTCTTGAACAAGTCACTGAATCTGATACGTCAGTTTTCTCAATATTAAACCAAAAAGAACAAAAACATTATTATTTTTGCTAAGTGCTGTTGAGTTATTTCTGACTCACAGCGACCCTGTGTAGGGTTTCTGAGGAGCGGCTGGGGAGTTTGAACCACCAACCTTGCTGTTCAAACGAAGTTTGCAGACCAGTGCTTATCCTACAGCTCCACACCAGGACTCCTCTATAGAACATATAGAGTGGCCATAAAATTGAAATGAGTTGTTGTCAAATCTCTTTGAGCAGTCGAAAACCCTAGAAAAATGTAGAGATCCCAGCAAAACTTGGCACAGTTTCTCACAAAAAATAGATTTTTCAGTAAATGTTTGATAAATGCTACATGAAAGACCTTGTTTGTGTTGACGTGTCTCAGATCATTTGAGAACAAACTAACTCAGAGAACACGACACTGAGTTTAATTCAAGGGACTCATAAAGAAACCTCCTCCTTCACCCTACCAGGAGGCTACTGGAGCTCTAGTCCTCACGCAATATTTAAGTCTTTAGTGACAGAGGCAACAAATCAACAACAACAAGGAACCTGAATATTATTTATGACTGGCTTTGAGGCTTTTGTTTGATTGCCTTTGTGCTGTGGTCAGGAAACTCAGAACAGGATCCAATAGTCCACTGAAGAAGATAAAATGATATTCAAAACTTCCCCCTTTTCTAACCCCACTTCCACCAAGTAAATTTCAACTCATAGTCACCCTATTGAACAGCACAGAATGGCTCCATAGGCTTTCTGCTGCTGCTGTAAAATCGTCATGGAAGTAGACTACGTCATCTTTCACCTTTTGGTCAGCAAACCAATGCTTAATCCCTTGCACAACCAGGCCTTCTTGTTCCCTTCCAAGCTTCCTCTATTATTCCACTGTTGGGGATAGATAAGATTTGTTAGTCTGCAGTGAGTGGCCAATTACCAGTAAAACAGGCTTATCTTCAAGAACTTCTACCTTCTCTAGCTGGGCTGGAATAAGTATTTCCTTTAAAAAGGCCCTTTCTTACATTTCCTGTTGGGTCAGAGTACACAAATATCCAGTTTATATCAACCAATTTAATGAAACAGAGCACTTACTAGGCCAGCAAGAGCAGCAACATGTGACAGTATCTTCCACTGGACGCACCACTAAGTAGAAGCATCTGAAGCCCTAGCTTCAACATTTCCTTCCAGGGAGCTTAGCATTCTTTAGTTTCTTTCCAAGAACTTAAACAGAGTCCTGATATAGAGCCACAGAATAAGCACTGGACTGCTAATTGCCAAGGCTGGCTGTTCAAACCCACCAGCTGCTCCTTGGAAACCCTATACAGGGTCGCTATGCGCAGGAACCAACTCAATGGCATTTAACGGTAACAACCACAACAAACCATCCTCCATCTTAAGAAATACCCAAGTCCAAGCTTTTAAAGACAGGAACTTTTTCTGTTGTTCAAACACATAAATAGCTACTCAGACTAGCTGTTTTCAGTATCAGCCCAGTAGGCTCTCATTCAACTGAATCAGAGTACTCTAAACACATCTTAAAGGTTAGTTTCAAGGAAAAATTGATACAGCTTACTGTGCAAACGGAAGAATGAATAAATGAAATCCAAAGATAACCCTCCAATCTAATTTTAGTTTTTCGTTTCTGCCTCCTCTTCCCAGTAAACTTTTCTCAAGAATTGGCAGACCACAAAGTAAGAAAAGTGAAGATTTCTGGTTTTCTCCAATCTATTATTTTCATGCTATTTTCTTGAAAGAGTGAGTAAAAACTAGTTAGGAATGTTAGCAAACAATTAAAAACATAACCACCAGAAAGCAAAATCCTAAAGGCAAAGATTAACCACAAACTATGTAAGTTCTGGACTTACATAACTGCAAGGTGGTGGTGGTGATGTGCCGTGGAGTCGGTTCTCACGCATAATGACTCTGTATAGAGTTTCTGAGGCTGTAAATCTTTACAGAAGCAGAAAACCTCATCTTTCTCCTGCAGAACCAGTGGTACTTTCGAACTGCTAACCATGTAATAAGCAGCCCCAACTTATAGCCACTACGCTACCATAGCTCCTTAACTGCAAGATGTTGTCGTTAAGTGCCACAGTGTTGGTTTCAACTCATGGCAATCCTGTATAGGATTTCCGAGGAGCAGCTGGTGAATTTGAATCGCCAACCTTATGGTTCAAATCAACCTTGCAGTCCAGCACATTATCCCACAATGCTACACACGTTATCCACAATACAAGGTAGGAGGTTCAAACCCATCAGTTGTTCCTCAGAAACCCCATGCAGGGCTGCTATGAGTCGGAACAGATTCAAAGGCACTTAACAACAACAACAAATATAATCAAGAATGGTGCTGCAGGATAATGCACTGGACCTCAAGGTCGAAGGGTCAAACTCATCAGCTACTCCTAATACAGGGTCTCTATGAATGGAACTCACTCAATGGCACTTAACATTTATCTTCAAGATCTAATAGCTACACAAGGGAAGTGCTGAACAGCTTCTGCTTAGCAGTCCCAGCAACCCTTTTCCAACCCCTCCCTGATAAGTGGCAGCATTTGTTGATCACAAAAGCAGAAATCTAAGATCTTTTAAATTTGAGAAAAATATCCTTCTTTCAGATAATCTTTTCTCTACTACTAAAAGTCCAATTATTTAGTGACAAACTTCTCATATCCTACATACCCTATAAACATCAAAGGATAACTTAGAGCCTGTTTTCTGCTTAACAATATGAGAAATCTAACTATTTCACTCAGGCCTTTTTTAAAATCTTGAGCTAAGAGAAGGAACCCTGGTGGCACTGTAGAATACGCACTGGACTGCTATCCATAAAGTTGGTGTTTCTAAGCCACCAATTGCTCCTCTCAAGAAAGATGAGTGTTTGTTCCCATAAAGATTTACAGTCTTGGGATCCTATACAGGGTGGCTATAAGTTAGAATCAACTTGATGACAGTGGATTTCGATTTGGGTTTTGAGCTAAGAGAAGACCGTTCAAAGACCATCTATATGCCAGTAGGAGATTATCTAAGGCCACCAGGGTTTTGGAACCTTACAGGCTTCTAAGAACAGGACATCTTACAAGTAGTGAGTATTTAATATGAAACCCAAGACCCTTCTTAATCTGTCCTCAGTTATAGCTAACCAACATGTGGCATTTCCCTGGAATGTGGCTAGAATAGGGCTCCAGATCTGAGGAGGGACCATGGTCTACAGCCTGCTAGCCTCAGTTCCCCTCTAGTCTTTCAGCTGTCTGTGTTTCCTTGCTTTGCTGAATTGTAGTGAAAACACCATATTCCCAAGAGAGGCAAAAGAATAGACACTACATGACTCTTTGCAGAGGGAAAAACTTCTACCACACGAATTCAAGAGCCTTAGGAAACAGCAGCCACTACTAAAGCCAAAGGCACAATTTAGTCATTCAACAAATACATATTAAGCACAAGGCTGTGTAGAGTCATTGGTGAACAAAAACAGGGACAGGTCCCATCCTCAATGAACAAAGTAAGATCAGGATAATCACTGGACAAATAATATAAAGTATGATGACAAAACAGGATATGATAGGGTGATCTGAGGTTCCACGTTGCCCAGGACACAAGGATCTAGACAAGGCTGTCCCAGCATCATACAAAAGCACATCCCTTTCCTCTCCAAGCTGTCTCAGTTTGGAAAATATATACCTGGTGTGACACTGTAGGATAAGCACTGGACTGCCAACTGCAGTCCAAACCTGTGGTTCAAATCCACCAGCCGCTCCTCAGAAATCCTATACACGGTGGCTATGAGTGCAAACCAACTTGATGGCACTTGAGAGAAATGGGGAGTGGGATCACATTAACCTGGGAAACCAAGGAAGACCTCTTGGAAGAAGTGCCACTTAAGCTGAGTCCTGATGGATAAGGCACACTCATTCTGGAAGGAAGTGGTTCCAAATACAGGGGACAGCATAAGCTTGGAAGCATTATTATTATGGATCAACATGAACTTTGGCTAATGGAGCTGAAGAATCAAAAAAAATGAGTTGGGGTTGTTAAGAGATCAATTTGCACTTCCAAAATTAAAATACCCTAAAGACCTAAATATATCAAGCCTCCAAATTCAAACATGAAGACACAACTGAAGCTCTAAGGAAGTGGTGGTTTTCAAACTTTTGTAGGTCAAGAATACCTCTGGGAATCTCAAAGACTCCAGCACCTCACCTAGGAAATGCATACACGTGTGCACATTCACACATTTCAGGAAGCTCACAGGCAATAGCTCCATGCCACTCCACAGCCACCAGGTTTTTAAGAAAAAGCCTATATTCACACACAACAAAAGCAAGCTCTCAAGCCTATTTGAGCATAAGATTTTCTTAAGATATGCCAAAGATATCCATGAATAAAGAGAAAAACATTATTTTTAAATGGTATCAGAATAAGCAATTGAAAACCAACAATTAATCAAACTCACCCTCCCCACCACCACCTCCGTTAGCCAGACCTGCCCTCTAAGTCCTTACCTTACTAACATTGAGTGAAGCTAGAGGAGGAGGGGTTTCTGTTCGGTCATTAATTATTTCCACTTCTGAAACATACTGTAAGTTTATGAGCAAGATGTCTGCATGGTTGGGCTTTCCACTTGATGAAGGACATTCTGGTGAGAAAATAAAGTTAAGGAAAACAGGGACACATCCCAACAGGGACAAGAAAAAACACAAATTCAGAGTTCCTGCAAAAGGTGTGCCTGAAGCAAGAGGGTGGGGGAGCCTCACAAAGACCACCATTCTCAGAAATCTCTGCCTCTCACGTTCCTCCTAACCAAACCCATAACCAAAGGACTTTGAGCTTTTCAAACTCAAGCACACCCAAAATTGGAAGTCTTGAAAGGGTTTCTGTCACCTTCTCTGTTTTATAAAGCAAATACAATGCAATTTTACCGCCTTATACACACTGTTTGTCTGGAACCTATGAACCACATGACAGCAGAGCCAGAATTTTATGTTCTTGGTATAAGACTCTCTATACAATATTCTTTTCACTCTTTCATAGATAAAATTTGCCAATTTAGAGGAGAAAACGACAGCACTGGAAAGGAAACTCACCTAGCTAGTTGTTTCATTCATTCATTCACTCACTCTTCAATCATTTACCAAGTGTCTACAGTATGCCAATGAAAAGGAAGTAGATTCATTCCTCAATCCAAAGATCCTTCCATCTAAACCACTAATAGTATCTCATTAGGTCCAGGTATGTCCTCTTGTTTAAAAAAGAAAAGAAACTCTTCTTGCTATAATTAGCTGTTTCACAGACACCTCTAAACTAGAAATCTACAACTAGTGGTTAAAGGAATTGAAATACTTGCCATATAAAGGCAGCAGATTCAATTGGCAACTTCATTTTGAAAAGATGCCATAAAGGAGCTCTGGTAGTGTAGTGGTTATGAATTGGGCTGCTAACTTCAGGGTAAGCAGTTCGAAACTACCAGCGGTTCCTTGGGAGAAAGATGAGGCTTTCTGCTCCCGTAAAGATTTACAGCCTTGGAAACCCGTTACAGAAAGGGTCACTATGAGTCGGAACCGACTCCACAGCACATAATCACCACCATAAAGGATTAAAGGATTAACACCCCCCACATACACATACCCATATAAACCTACCTGTAGCCCAAATAAAAGAGGGAGAGGTGGCACATGTATTCCAACCAGGAAGTGTTTTGTTCCCAAGACTGAGTTTCCTGTAGTAACTGAGAAATCCGCCCCAAAGAAGCAGGCCACCTTTTCCCACTCAGTTTAACTACTGTCAATTTCAAAAAAAGGAGGCCACAGCTAGGGAAAAGTCAGGACTCCAAGCGCTGGGCTACGCTTATTCCTTCACCTGTAACCCACACAAGCCCCTGAAAGACGTGGCAAACTGTCTCAGACCAGGCTTCTGACGTGCACATTCCAAAACAATTTAACTTTCATAGGAGAAGCCTAAAAGTCAGCCATCCCCACCCCAACAGCACCTCCCATACACACAAATCAAGAAAAGCTGCCACGATCCCCAGTTCAGATCCAAACTCTGTCCAGCACTTACTCTTCCCCAAAAAGCGATCAAGGCCCATTAGGTTACCACTCCCTCCATTCCTCCCTCGGACCAAATCCCATCAACAGACAGTCCCTCTCCTAAACTCAGGGTCAAACCCCTGCCCAACTAGCAGTTCCTTGCCCTACACACCTCCTCTCCACTTGATCTTACCCGCCCCCCTTCCATCCGGGCTCCAATTCACCAGCCCCCTCCCATTACCACCAACCCTCCCCGATCTCGGTGTCTCCCCTCACAGCGTTCATTCCAAAAAGCCATCCGCGTGTCAAGCCCCGCTCCACCCACCGACCCTCCTTTGGGGCCCAGCTCTCGCAAAGGTTGGGAGACAGGTTGCCCAAAGGGGACCAAGGGGCCCTCGGGAGGGGGAGGGGGAGCCCAGAGCCATGCGCATGCGCCCGAGGCGCCGCGGTAGCCGGTCGCCCCTAGGCCCGGAGAGGGCCCCAGCCGCTGCCGTCGTCCCCCACCCCCAACCACCACACATACACGCCGGCCCACCCTCGGGCTCCACGCAGGGAAGGATACTTAAAGCCAGCATTTTGGACTGGTAGTCAAAAGCTACCACCTCGCCCTGCAGCCGCTGCTCCTGGCACGTCCGGCACGACACCTGGCTCCCAACGCTGAAGTACTCGCCCGGAGGAGCCGCCATCTTGGGAGAGCAGCCGCGGCCGGCGGCGGCGGCGGCAGCAGCGGGCGAAAGCCGGGCCCCCAGTGAGCGCCGCGACGCGACGCGACGCGACGCACGGGGCGTGCTGATGTCACACGCCTGGGCGTGGCCTGACGCTGGGTGGGGCGGGAGCCTAGGTGGAGGAGCAAGGAAGAGGAAATAAAGGGGAATCCGAGGAATAAGATTTCTGCGGCGGCGCCCACTTTGGCGAGTGCTTGTAAGGTCCGTTAAAGATATATGACCGACATGGAATGAACAAAGAAGATAGGAGGGACCTTCAGTCTCCATTATGTGCACACCTTTTACACGACCAGAGTTTAGTGAATGAACGCTATAAAAAAGTAATGTATATTATCCCGATTTTACGTGTGAGGAATCCAAAGTTCAGAGGATTTAACAAAATACGCTTAAGATAATTATACCTATTTACAAAATGTGGAAAGAATACTGACTAAAGAGATAAACCGGAATCAAAATCCCAGGTCAGCCGTGTACTATTTACTTGACCTTGAGCAAATGATAACCCATAGCACTATTTCTTCATGTGTATCTATTTTGTCGCTTACTGAGCATCCAACAATCTTTAAGGTAGGACTCAATATCCCCATTTTACAGATGAAGAAACCAAGTCTTAGACTAAACTTGTCCCAAAGTCACACAACTAGCAAATGACAGGACATGATCTACCTGTTTCCAAAGACTGTTACTACTGTAGCAAATTAGATTATACATAATTCATAACGACGTTACAAAGTTTAAATGAGATGGTGGTGGTGGGGGTTGTGTGCCGCGGAGTGGGTTCCGACTCATAGCGACCCTGCATCGCGTTTCCGAGGCTGTAAATCGGGAGCAGAATAGTGTGTATAAATGCATGGCAGGTAAACAAAACCAAGCCCCTTGCTGTGAGTATATTTTGACTCAAAAGAACCTATAGGATAGAGTAGACTCATAGGGTTTCCAAGTTTGTAATTTTTACAGAATCAAACTGCCACATCTTTCTACCACATAATAGTAGTTGTTGTTATTAAGTGCTGTCGAGTCGCTTCCCAGGTTCTGATTCATAGCGTCCCTGTAATAGTGTTTCCGAGAAGCAGCTGATGGGTTTGAACTGCCGACCTTGTGGTTTGCAGTCCAATGCTGATCCTACAGTGAGTGCTACACCAGGGGTCACATAATGGTTGGTGGTTTGGAAATGCTGACCTTTTGGTTAGCAGCCAAGTACTTAACTACCTTGCATGGCATGTTGTTTTTAGGTACCTGTAAGCCTGTATAGTGTTTCCAACGCTATAAATCTTTAAGGATAAATCTTTAAGGCAGTAGAAAGCCTCATCTTTCTCCTGCAGAGCAGCTGGTGGATTCGAAATGCCAACCTGTTGTTAGCAGTCCAGTGTTTATCTTAAAATCCCACACCAGGTCTCAGTCTTTCAATGATACTTCTTCTCCCATGACTGAACACCACCCTTGGAGCTCCAGACACGTCCCATGTCCTTCCCATGCCCCAACAAACCAGGCTAAAAGCAGGAGTGAGGAGCAGAGAGAATGACAGGGAAGACCCATTAATTTCCATCTGGCATCCTTAACATATTTTGTAAGGAGTCCTGGTGCTACACTACTGGATAATGTACTGGACCACAACCACAAGATGGGTTTGAAATGCAAGGTCATCAGTTCAAACCCCACTAGCCACTCCTTGGAAACTCTACACAGGGTTGCTATGAGTCTAAACCCACTTGAAGCACTTAACAACTTTCAAGCCTCCCCCCAACAACCAACTGCCATCCCTAGCTTACCCACTCTCCAACATAAAAATTCTGGTCTCATTTAGGAAGAACAACAGATTGACCTTTCTCTAGTCCACAGGGAGGTAGAGCACCCTTGGCACTACATAATCTGAACAAAAATAAAAAATGTTTCCTTGCCCTGCAAGAGGCATCACCTTCCCAGTGGGGGATACAATCTTTCCAATAGACTAAAAATACTGCTCCCTCATGTTTGTGTCTTTCAGAACATTTTTACATCTCTCATCCTTGCTCTCTGACCTCCGTGACAAGTTACATATAATTGTCACTCCACTTTTTACATGGCATTGTGATGATATGCTTCCTGGAAGAAATTAAAAATCTTAACTGAGACTTGAAGGATCACGATGAAAACTGGGTGGCTGTGTTCCAGGCAAAGGACCTGCATATGGTCAGGATCCCTGCAAGACTGGGGAGCTTAACTATTTCTAGAAACTGAAAATTACCAGTATGGGGTCAGCTGTTGAAGGTTGAGATTAGAACCACACCAAACTTTGAAAATCTGCAAGAAATTTAGGCTTTCTCCTGGAATAATTGGAAAACATTTAGCAAAGGACTGAGATGTACACTAGCCTCCTTTCCCCACATCTTTTAAATAACTGAAATTAATCTTTTTTCAAAGAGAACCCAGATTTGCATTCTCATTTTCATCTACACATCAAAAACTCTCCAAGAATAAAGTTGCTAGAAGTAGAAGGAGGGGACCAGAGGTACCACTTCAACAATCTCCTCCCACCCCTACCTCTGCTTCTAGGCAAAGCCTCGCCCAGTATGGCTGAGAATTCTATTTTCTGTATTCTAATGCAGGTGATACAACCTTGCTTGCTGAAAGTGAAAAGGACTTAAAACATTTACTGATGAAGATCAAAGAACACAGCCTTAGGTATGGATTACATCTCAATATAAAGAAAACAAAAATCCTCACCACTGGACCAATAAACAACATTCTTATCAACAGAGAAAAGATTGAAATTGTCAAGGACTTCATTTTTCTTGCACCAACTATCAACATTCACGGAAAGCAGCAGTCAAGAAATAAATTATTAGGCAAATCTGCTGCACAGGAACTTTTTAAAGTGTTGAAGAGCAAAGATGTGTGCCTGACCCAAGCCATGGTATTTTCAATAACTTCATGCATGCAAAAATTGGACAGTGAATAAGGAAAACGGTAGAAGAACTGATGCTTTTGAGTTATGGTGTTGAAGGAGAGTATTGAAGATGCCATGGGCTTCCAAAAGAACCAATAGATCCATGTTGGAAGAAATGCAGCCAGAATGCTCCTTGGAGGCCAAGATAGCCAAACTTTGTCTCTCATACTTCCGACATATTGTCAGGAGGGACCAGTCACTGGAGAAGGATATCATGTTTGGTAAGGTGGAGGGTCGGAAGTCCTGTACAGGGTCGCTATGGGTTGGAACCAACTGGAAGGCACTTAACAACAACAACAAGGTGGAGGGTCCGAGAAAAAGAGGAAGACCCCCAACGAGATGGATTGGCCAAGTGGCAGCATCGATGGACTCAAGCGTGGCAACAGTAGTGAGGCTGGCCCAGGATCGGGCAGTGTTTCATTCTGCTGTGCATAAGGTCGCTATGAGTTGGTACCGACTCCATAGTGCCTAACAACAACAACAATTTTCCATGTTCTGCTGTGTGTCCTGGCCTCTTTCTAAACTTATACTATCACTATCTCCTGGTCTATCTGCCCAGTGGGGTTTTGGATAGCAGGAGGCAAGTTTAGAAGTGGGACGAAGTGGAACTTTGTTGAGAGGGTGTAAGAATTAGCGAGTTATTAGGAAAGGTGCTTCCAAATCAATAACAGATCAATTAGGGCGGGAGTCTTAAACTGGGAAGGGAAGGCGTGGATGGGTTAGCAGTATATGCTTGCAAGTAAATTTATGGTCCCGCTTCAGAGCCGGCCAGAGGAGATATCCATAGTCCTCTTTCAACCAGAGATCTCAATGTTTTTTGGAGTGTAGTCATGCTGGAGAAGAGTAGTCAGGTCTGGAAGGAATCCTGGCTGATTGAGATTACACATCAATCAACCTTCGCAGCAGCAGTGCAGAGCCCTGCGGGTTCGTGTGTTCCCTGACCCGGAACAGCAGCCAGCGTTGCCTTTGCGCCGGCTGCCCACGTGTCGGCAACAGCGGCCACGTGGGGCCCTGCGGAAACGCTTCTAAAAGGTTTGTCCCTTGCGCTGCCCAGTAAGGCAAAGGCTCAAGGAAGAGCGCCGGAGGAAACTGCCTCGGCGAGAGATCAGGCTCGCGCGAGTCCGGACAGCCCAGGGCGGGGCCTGGGAGGCCGGTTGGGGTGGGCGGGGCCTGGGACTCGGAAGGGTGGGCTTGGAGGGCAACCGATAGACTTACGTTTCCTTGTCGCGGGGTCTTTGCGGCTCCTGCTTTTGAGCCATGGAGTCGGCGCTGGGTGCGGGCATAGCAGTGGCCGAGGCGCTGCAGAACCAGATGCCGGGGCTGGAGAACGTGTGGCTCTGGGTCACCTTTCTGGGCGATCCCAAGTGTCTCTTCATGTTCTACTTTCCCGCCGCCTACTACACCTCTCGCCGCGTTGGCATCGCGGTGCTCTGGATCAGCCTCATCACTGAATGGCTCAACTTGGTCTTCAAGTGGTGAGAGAGTGAAGCCCTCCAGGCGGCCTGCTCCCCCTTCCCTGCGGGCCCTGACTTCTGTGCTAGCCCTGACCTCTCTCAGCAGTGTCTCAAAGACCCGGTCTTCCCCGAGAGTGAAGCCATGGCCCTGCACCTTGCACCCCCCTACCCTGTGGACTCTTCCCCTTTGAGCAAGAATCTTGGTGCAGCATTCACCTAACCGGCTCCTTAGACCTGAGTTCCTGGTCAGAGAGAAATACCACTTCAGGGGTGTGTTAAAAATGAAAATACCCCATCCCTACCTCAGACCAACTGATTTAGAAACTCTCCAGAGGAGGGGATGTTGTGGTGGTGGTGGTTGGTGATTATGTGCTGTGGAGTCGGTTCCGACTCATAGCGACCCTGTACAGGGTTTCCGAGGCTGTAAATCTTTACAGGAGCAGAAAACCTCATCTCTCTCTCCCGCGGAACATAGTTTCGAACTGCTGACCTTGCGGTTCACAACCACTAGGCGACCTCTGCTCAAATTGATTCTGACTCATAGTGACTTATGCATAAAAGAACGATACACTGCCCTGCGTTTGGATTCATTGTTGGCTGCTTTTTCTGTGTCAGTCCCATCTCTTTGGAAGTCTTCCTCTTTTGCGCTGACCCTCCACTTTCTCATTCAGGATGTATTTCACCAGGGATTGGTCTCTCTGATAATATGTCCAAAGTATGAAAGATGAAGTCTTGCCATCCTGGCTTCTAAGGAGCATTCTGACTGTACTTCTTCCAACACACATTTGTTTGTTCTTCTGGCAATCCATGGTACTTTTTCATTTTCCTTTCTATCACCATAATTCAAATGTATTGGTTATTCATTGTCCAACTTTCACATGCATATAAGGCAATTGAACCATAGCTTAGGGGCAGGCACACAGTCCTCAAACGTATCTTTGCTCTTGAACACTTTTTTTGTGGCTATACTTTTTTAATACTATACTTCATTTGAATGCTATTTCCTTACGTGTTGATTGTGGGTAGATCCAAAAACATGAAGTCTTTGACAACTTCAATTTTTTCTCCATTTATCATGATATTATTTATTGGACCAAAATTGTGAGGGGTTTTGTTTTCTTTACATAGAGGTGCAATCTACACTGAAGGCGGTGATTTTTTTATCTTAATCATAAAGTATTTTAAGATTGTGTCATCTGCATATCTCTGGCTGCTAATGAGTCTTCCTCCAATCCTGATGCCACATTCTTCTTCATTTCTGTTTGTGTTGTTGTTAAGTGCCATTAAAGGCGAGTCAGTTCCAACTCGTAGTAACTTTGTAGAGTTTCCAAGGAGTGGTTGGTGAGTTTGAACCGCCGACTTTGTGATTCAAACCAACCTTGTGGTCTAGTGCTTTAAGACATAGGGCCACACCAGGAGCATCCTTTTCATATATATTGTTATTATTGCTAAGTGCCGTAGAACATCGTGTCAGATCTGACCCATAACGACCCTGTATAGGGTTTACGAGGAGCTACTAGTAAGCTTGAATTGCAGACCATGCAGCTGAAACCAACTTTGCAATCCAGCACATGGTAGGGATCTGTATTTTAACAAAACAACATCTATTGATGGTGGCATTTTGGACTCTTGGTGTGGTACTGTAGGATCAGCACTGGACTGCAAACCACAGCGTCAGCATTCAACCCCACCAGCTGCTCCTCAGAAACCCTATACACGGTCACTATGAGTCAGAACCGATTGATGGCCTTTAAGTCGCAGCAAGTCCTGTTCTCAACTCACTTTTGCATTACTGTATTCCTTTGTTTAACCTGATTTTCAACAGCACACTTTGTGCTAGGCATCCAAGAGCTACTAAGAGCAGAAAATGCTAGAGCCCTGCAAATCAAAATGTAGGCAGCTCTGGAGAGCTTGCTAAAAACTGAAGAATCTCAGGCCCCAGCCCAGGACCTACTGAATCAGAATCTGAGTTGTAGGAAAGTTCCCAGATGATTCGTGTTTGCAGTCAAATTTGAGAAGCACTGCCTTCTAGGGTGCACGGTCTCATTTTCCTTTTCCTTTTTGTTCACTAGTAGGCTCTTTGCACTGAAACTAAGAAGTCAGAAATCGCAGGCAAGTGGGTTGCCCTTGGGACTTAACTCTGTGTGCCACCTGTTCCATCTTGGGCACACAAGGAAAAATGCCTCCCACTGGGCATGCAGCCACCTTCCACCTCCCCTCAGCCTTGCCCCATCAAGCGGGGGAAGGGAAGTTCATAGGCGACACTTGAGTGGGCTGGAATGACTTGGCCTTCCTTTCCACTCTTCTCTGCTAGTGCTTCATCCCAACTAGCAACAGAAAAACCGTTGTCAAATCACTTCCTTCTTGTTTCATTGCCCCTTGTTTTTGTCTCTCTCTTTCTTTGGAGTTTGTACAAGCCTCCCACTCTTGTCCTGTTTCCCCAAGGGTCGGGTCCTCCTCATCCCTCAGTGGGTGCCCAGTACCCATACATGACAAAGTAGGGACTAATACTGAGCACCTGGAATATGAAACTATGTGCTGTTTTTGCTGGGGAGTCACGTCCCTGCCCCACTTCCCTCCTTAGCGTGCAGCTTCCTGCTCGCCTCTCTTCTGCTCCCCCACCTTTTCTTCTTCTGTCTACAGCATCCTTTGGTGTGTGTCTGTCCGGTACCTAGCCAAGTAGCCCCTCCCTGCCAAGTCAGGGCACTTGGAACGTTTTATGCTTCTTACTCTTTCTCAGCCTCTTTGTCTGTCCCTCACTCCCATTTTCAAGAATGAGACACTTGCCTAAGTAGTTCAGGTGTGGGTAGTTCAAGATGGAATTTGGGAAATGGAGAGAGGGACTATAGCATAAGAAAAAAAAAAGAGAGAGAGAAGTAGGAAGATCAGTGAAATTCTGGAAGGAGGCAGGGGAAAGCCAGGCCCTGGGCTTTCTGGAGATGACAAGAGCAGACACACACACACTCCACAATCTGTTACCTCCTATTACTTTTAGAAAATAGTGTGTTTGCTCCAATTCCAAGCTAGGAGGCCATCGTAGGGTAATGGCAGGGAATCAGAGTCCCCATTGTGATTTACCCCCAGCCCTCTGGAGGACTCTCGGGTGGTCCCCACCCCCTGTGTAGAGCTCACTGGTGTCCTGCACCTGTTCTCTTCCAGGCTTCTCTTTGGAGACAGACCCTTCTGGTGGGTCCATGAATCTGGATACTACAGCCAGGCCCCAGCCCAGGTTCACCAGTTCCCCTCTTCCTGTGAAACTGGTCCGGGTGAGCAGCCTCAACCCTGCACCCTTTCCCACTGTGATTAGGATTTGTATGAACGTTTCAGGGTACCTGTAGTCGGGGTGGTCCAACCAGATGCCCTGCCTCGAAGCTCTGGGTCCTGATTACAAAGGAACCCCAGGAAGATTGATTATGCAAGGAAGCACCTATGCCAGTGTGCCAGCTATGCCCACCTTGGAAATAAACCAGAAGACTGAGAGGCCTCATGGTGGGAGGAGGGGTGAAAAAGTCCTACGGGTAGAGGGAACTATGGACCAGTAAGTACTAGGTGGAAGCATTCTGCTTGGCTCAGAGGAGGCAGATGTGTTGAGATGTCAGAGGGGCACCTGGGTTCCCCTCCCATCCTCTGACCACAAGCTTCTGAATTCCCCATCAGGAAGCCCTTCTGGACACTGTATGATCACAGGAGCAGCCCTGTGGCCCATAATGACAACCATCTCTTCCCAATTGGCCACTCGGACCCGCAGGTATACTCTAGCATTGCTCAGTGATGGCACTCAGTCGGGTCTCAAAGAACAGCAGCGGGGCAGCCTGGGAATTGGGGTTCTGGGGCCCTAGGCTTTTTTAGTCATACCATGTATTGCCTTGGTGCTGGGTGTGGAGGGAAGCCAGGCTGCGTGTGGACATCCCCCAAGCTGTTTGCCTCTTCTTTTCAGCCACTGGGTACGAATGATGCCGGGCCTGGCTTATTGTACCTTTCTCCTGGCCGTCGGTCTGTCCCGGGTCTTCATCTTAGCTCATTTCCCTCACCAGGTGTTGGCTGGCTTAATAGCTGGTAAGCAACTGGATTGGCAGGAGGTGGGCTAAGAGGGTGCCTCTGTCAGTGGAAGGACCAGTCTAGAATCTTCCCCAGATTCTATAGAACCAACCCCAAGGCCTTCCTGTGTCTCAGTGTGTTCTCCTATTAAGCCATAGCTTACTGGTCATGACCCCAACTTCTTATGTTACCACCACTGCACTTCCCCAGGTGCTGTTCTGGGCTGGCTGATGACCCCCCGGGTGCCCATGGAGCGGGAACTAAGTTTTTATGGTTTGACTGCATTAGTCCTCATGCTGGGCGCCAGCCTCATCTACTGGACTCTCTTTACACTGGGCCTGGACCTTTCTTGGTAAGTCCCACTTTGAAGATTGGGAAAACTGGGGCTGATGCTACCTACTTAGATTTATGTAGCCTAGTAACTGTTAACAAAGGACACATTGTCTATTCACAAAGGTAGACCCTCCTGAGGTCACAGAATGTGGGACTGGGCCCCAAAGGGTAGATGACAAAGAGCCAGGGCCCTCTAGGTCCCAGGAGGATGTTTCTTACTCCCCACAGGTCCATCAACCTAGCTTCCAAGTGGTGTGAGCGACCTGAGTGGGTGCATGTGGACAGCCGACCCTTTGCCTCCTTGAGCCGTGATTCAGGTGCCACCCTGGGTCTGGGCATCGCCCTACATTCTCCCTGCTATGCTCAGGTACGGCGGGCACACCTGGGAAATGGCCAGAAGATCGCCTGCTTTGTGCTGGCCATGATGCTGCTAGGCCCCTTGGACTGGCTGGGCTATCCTCCTCAAGTCAGCCTCTTCTACATTTTCAATTTCCTGAAATTCACTCTCTGGCCCTGCCTGGTCCTGGCCCTTGTGCCCTGGGTGGTACACATGTTTAGTGCCCAAGAAGCTCCACCCATCCACTCCTCCTGACTTCCAGTGCCTCCTCCCATCACCTTCACTCCCAAACCAATACTCCTCCACCTCCACACTCCACCAGACAGACCCATTCCCTTTCATGTGCCCAGGCCCCAGTAGATCCTACACATACTGAATTTCTCTAGCTTCTCCCACCACCTGATATTAGTGCCACAAGATTCTGTTTTCTCCTGGAGAGGTTGGTCTTCCTCCTAGCTTCCTTCCCAAACCCCTAGAGAGCAGGGAAAATGGCAAGACAAGCGATTCCTGCAACACTGAGAGGGGCACCTCAAGGAGACCCCAATAAAGCCCTTGAATACTTCCGGATTCCTTTCTTGCCTCTCTAGTGAGCTTGCCTGCATGAACACAGGTAGACTCTGGCCAGGCTGCATGCTCTGCTCCCCATCCAACCCCAGTTCAACTGAGAGAGACAATGGGACAGGAGAGGACTTTGGGCTCAGTTGAGACCATCTAGGCTCAGACCTCTCCCCGTTCTTCTCAGCCGAGGCCCACAGTTCCTATGAGATGTTCTGCTACTTTCAGTAAAACCATGTCTTTTCTTACCTATGGCATAGAAACCCCACCCCTACCCCATCCCACCTGCTTCCTAAATTCTAGTCCATTCTTGCTGGAGAACAGCACAGACTTTTTTGGGGGGGTTTTGACCAGGAAGAATAAGAACGTCTACTCCAATTGAGAGCCCAGAGAACAGAGACACTGGCCCCAAAAGGCACTGCCAGAAACAAGTTTACTTACACAAGAACACACAGTGTAACAGGTTACAAATACTAAAGTGACATCCAGAGCCAGGGAACCAAAGCAAGGAGGGGGAGTTTACATGAGAACCAGACTGTTCATGGGGAAAGGGAAGTGAGGGGCCTGGAGCCTGGGACTCCGCACCAGCCGCAGGATCTAGAACGCGCCACACACAAGACAAGCGCACAATGAGCCAATGATAATGGGACACCTGCCGCTCCCCTGGCTCCCTCAACCTTACTTAGGTCCCTGCTAGAATAATAAATATGGAAACAGACTGGTGGAGCCTGGGGTTGGGAGGGGAGAGAGGATGTGTGGTGCTGGGAAGGAGGATGAGAGTCTCCTGGGAAGAGCCACTTCCCATCTTTGGTTTCTTAACAGCTGGTCAGCATTCCCTGGAAGCCTTGTGGGCCTCCAGCCCCTGGTAAGACAGGGGTTAGTGGGGCTCCCAGAAAGAAGAGGCAGTGCCCAAAGTCCCCTCCTGCTCTTAGCTTCCTTGGGCCAGGCCAGCAAAGGAAGCCCAGCAGGAGAGAAGTCCCAGCTGATGGCAGAACTCCTGGGTTCGGGCCTTCTGGCGCTGTCCCTGCTCCTCCTAGAGCGTCCCCTCTCACCATCCCTAGGCTGCAAAGCAAAAGAGGGAGGTGGACTGCAACCCTTCTGCTCACAGCATGCCTGTTGGGGGGCTGGGTGGGAGCTGGTCCTGACCGGCAGGGGCTCTCCCCATACTGGGGCTCCCCTATAGGGATGACCTTCTCCCCACTCCAGGCTGTGTCAGCAGAGGGACAGGGAGGCCAATAGTCAGGTGGGCAGCAGGTCTGATTCTGGGATTCCTCCTGGCGCTCCCCACATACTCACTCCTGTTACAGCCCTGGGAAGGGGAAAAGCCCAGCTTGGTGAGAGAGTCAGAGAACCTACTCACAGACCTCAGGCCCACGTCTGTGGGCACAAGGGCTCCTCTGAGCGCTGAGGCCAAGAGAAGAGGAGAGAGGCCTGTGTAGCAAGGAGGAAGACAACAGGAGAAAGGCTAGGGCTCCCCTCCCCTCCAGCCTATACCTCAATACTGTAGGAAACCCTGTACCCTCCCATGAGGCCAGAGAGGGAGGAGGGTGGATTAAGGTATTTCCCCTCAAATCAACAGATGCCAAGGCACCAAACTTACTGCTCCCTCCTCCCTCAGGGAGCCGCAGAACAGGAGGGTGCTATCCTAGCCTCCATGTCACCCTGAGCTGGCCCAGGCTCCACAAGGGGAAAAGGACAGAATGCAGGAAAGTAGGTAGAGGAGATACAGAGGGGAGAGGCTGGGCAGGGTATTTAGCCCTCCCTGAAAAGAGCAAACTTCCAGCAAGGAGAAGGGGGCCTGAGGCAGCTTAGAGGAGCAGGGGGCGAGGCTCAGAGACCCACACGGTACACGTGGTTGAATGTGTGACTTTTTGTTTTTAATAGAAAAAATAAACAAAATCACAATGATGAAGCCCAGAGGGATGGGGGCCAGGGCATCACAGGACAGGTTCCTGCTCCATGGGCTCCTCTGTCGGTCTGTGGGGACAAGCACAGGGGGTGGACTGAGTGGGGGGGTGCCAGCAGGGAGAGGGAGGCCTCCAGGGTGGTGGGCCGGGGAAGGGGCCTCACCTGGGGCTGTGCTCCAAGGCAGCAGCAGCCTGGGCCTGCTCAGCCCCCACCGACAGCAAGGCCATGGCGCTCACAGTCTCGGCCTCCTCAGTCTCACCGGCCTGGGCCTCCCGCAGGGAACGCCCTAGTCCCGCGGCAAACCTCTGTACACAGCTCCAGTGTTTGCCTGCAAGAGTGGTGGGCAGGCGGTCAGGGTGGGCAGACCACCCCCATCCAGGCATCTCTAACCCAGGGGCTCCCATCAGTGCCTCCCCACATACTCTGGATCTCGATGACTTTCTCTAGTGTGGTCACTGCGTTGACACTGGGCTTTTGCTGTAAGACTGCCTCATCCAAGGGCTGCAGCTGGGGGGAAAGAAGAGAATTGTAGGAAGTGGATGGGGACACTTGTCCCTATAAGTGACTCCAGCCACTCCTCATGGCAGAGGCAGAGTACAGCCTTTCTGGGTTGCCCCCACTCAACAGAGCCCTTGCCACTTAGCTGTCCTTAAGACCCAGGAAAACCTTACCAGATGCCCTCCCTGCTGCTTGACCCAGGGACAAGGACATCCTTGGCTGGCCCCTCAGTCCCCAAGGCCCACTGACCCACCTCCCCACCCCCGCACCTCCACGCTGAGCAGAGCCGAGACACAGGCCTCTGAGGCATCACAGATGGCGGTCAAGTCATGGCCTCCTTCCAGGGCCAGCACCACCCGACCCCCTGCCAACGTCATCAGCTGCCTGGTCAAGTGGCCAAAACCTTTGGGGGTGGGTAGAGGAAAAAGAGGATGTAATGGTTAAAAGATACTTCAGTGATGGGCATGTGAGTTCTGTTTATGACAGCATCACCCCAAGAGGAAAAAAACCAGAGGTGGGACAAATAGCACGAAAGATGGTGGATTTAAACCCATATATATCCATAATAAAATTCAATGTAATGGACTATTTGTTCCACTGATGATAAAAAGTAGGAGCGTGGCTTAAAAATTCCTGTTATGTGCTTGCTGACTTGTGAGGAACCACTAGCACATTAGGCATCAACCAGCTCCATCCCTAGGGCTCCAACAGGAGAAACAGTCCCACTCCCCCCCACCCTTGCCTGCTAGTCCCTCCCAAAACCAAGGTTGGCCAGAGAGCATGGGAGGAACTGCTGGGATTAATCCCAATCCTAGACCTGCCTCAAGGAGTTCTGAGGTGGCGCTGTGGGATAAACCACTGGACCACATGGCCAGCAGTTCATACTCACCAGCTGCTCCTTGGAAACCCTAGACGGGGTCACTATGAGTCAGCACTGACTTGATGGCACTTTGCCACCGATATACAACAAACAGCTCTCCTCCCCCTAACCTCAGCAGCCCCCTGTGTCCCTGTCCTCACTAGTCCACACCCTCTCTCATTCCCCAGCAGGCTCACATCTGGCTGTGACAGAGTAGCCACCCAGTGGAGATAGATGTCCCTCGACAGCATCAAACCCGGCAGAGACCAGGACCACATCAGGAGAGAACTCGTGGGCAATGGGCATCACCACTGTCCTGCAAAGGGATAGCTTGAGCTGACCTGATGGCTGGGCCAGGCCTTGCCCTCCCCCAGCTCTCCTCCCAGACAGCCCCCCTCCACCCACACCAAACTGAGTGCCTCTGCCCTCCCACAGTGAGACAGGGGCTCCCCACCCCTCCCGCACCCTTCTCCGCCCCCACCTGAAGGCTGTCAGGTACTCCACGTCTCCGATGGGGGGATCCACACCTCCCGTCCATGCCACGTTCACATTGTACCCCATGCCCGGCCCTCCGCCAACCTGGCACCAGGGTGGGGAGGGGATTATTCTCTCCCTGCCAGGAGATCCCAGACATCACCCGCCACACTACTGCCTCCCGTCCTCACTGACCTCAGAGGGGCCGTCAGACTAACAGTCCTCCCACTAAGAGCCCAGACTCCCTGGGTACCAGCATCACCACCATCCGCGCTCCGCTCCTACTCTGCTGCCTCCCAAAGGGCCCCATGTTTGGGCCTAGGAGCTGTACCTCTTCCGGTGCCCCGCTGCCTGGAAAGAAGTTCCCGTTGTCGTAGCGATGCAGGGAGATGTAGAGCACAGAGGGATCGTTATAGAAGGCTTGCTGAGTACCATTACCATGGTGGATGTCCTGGAGATATGGCATCAGGAAAAGGGCCAGACTTAGATCCACCACTCCCACCCTCTGGTGAGCTTGGAGATGCAGTCTACTGCTAGCTACAATGTGAGTCACCCACATCGCTCAACCAGGGTCTATGAGTATGTGACATGACACCCTGAGGAGACATGCAGAGCCCTGGGAATCCATTCTACTTAAAAGATTTGGGAAAAACACCAAGGCAAATTAGTAAGAAATTAATTTTACATAAACATTGATTTTGAAGAATCCAATGTGTGCATAAAATTTTAGGGCAAAAGGTGGACTTTAGAGCAGTGTCACCCCTACTGAGCGTGGCTCCTGGCCCTTCCCCGGCTCAGGGTTTGAGAAGCCAGAGCACAAGTATTAGGACCAAAGACCTGGTATGAAATCCAGTCCCAACTCTCCGAGCTATGTGACCGTGGGTAGGTCACCCAAATAGCTCATTCTCTTAGAAACGGACATCATGAAATAGACAACATGATTCCTATGACAAGAGGTGAC